AGGGAGTTAACAAGAGTCTGCACTGACCCTGAACCCTCCAAACATTCTTGCGATGGCCAGGCACAGTGGCTCATGCCTGTCATCTCAGCACTTTGGGAGGCCCAGGTGGGCAGATGGTTTGAGCCCAGGAGTTCAAGACCAGCCTGGGCAACATGGTGAAACCACACCTCTATAAAAATACAAAACTTAGCCAGGTGTAGGGGTGCACACCCGTAGTCCCAGCTATTAAGGAGGCTGAGGTGGGAGGATTGCTTGGGCCTGGGAGGTCAAGGTTGCATGAGTTGTGATCATGGGTGCACTCCAGCCTGGGCAACAGAGCAAGACCCTGTCTCAAAAAAAAAAAAAAATTCTTGGGGACTGCAGATATGTTGTATCTATCTCTCAATGATGTAGTCACAGGGTAAACAAACCAAATATTGCCCCACCTCTCCTCTTTAGTACCATCTCTGCTTTTAGAGAATCCTGAGCCTAGAAGGAGAGAAAGCTAATTCTTCTGTTGACTTGGTGAATCAGCCTGGGTGCCTCGCTATTGGTCAGCCTGCCACGGATTGCTGTGTTGATTGCCTTCCCTGTCCCTTGTTGCATCCAATGATGGTCCAACCAATCCATTCAAAAGTATTAGGATGAATAGAAGTGAGCATCAAAAATATAGGATTATGTTCGAGAACACAGAAAGGCCTTCTATAAATCAATAAAAATGCAAAGCAACTTGATTTTTAAAATATGCATCAAACATGAACAAGATACTCACAGAAGAAGAAATGGCTGTATACAGATGTGTAAGTTCACCTATCAGACTGGCAAACATTTAAGAGACTGGTAATATACCATATTGGTGAGTGTCTTAGTCAGTCTGAGCTGCTCTAACAAATTATCATAGACTGGGAATCTTAAACATTTCCTTCTCACAGTTCTGGAGGCCGGGAAGTCCAAGATCAAGGTGCCTGGAGAGACAGTGTCTGCTGAAGGTCGGCTTGCTGGTTTGCAGATGACTGTCATCCTATTGCTCCCTCACATGGCGGAGAGCAAAGAGAGAGAAAGCAAGCGCTTTCTTTTCTAAGACAGAGGACACTAAACCCATCGTAAGGGCACCACCCTTAGGAACTAATTACCTCCCAAAGGCTGAATATCCAAGTACCATTACATTGGAGATTAGGGTTTGATATGGCTTGTCTGTGTTCCCATTCTAATCTCAACTTGAATTGTATCTCACAGAATTTCCACTTGTCATGGGAGGGACCCACAGGGAGGTAACTGAGTCGTGGGGGCTGGTCTTTCTGTGCTATTCTCCTGATAGTGAATAAGTCTCAGGAGATCTGAAGGGTTTATCAGGGGTTTCCGCTTTTGCTTCCCTTTCATTTTCTCTTGCCGCCACCATGTAAGAAGTGCCTTTCACCTCCCGCCATGGTTCTGAAACCTCCCCAGGCATGTGGACCTGTAGGTCCAATTTAAACCTCTTTCTCTTCCCAGTCTTGGGTATGTCTTTATCAGCAGCGTGAAAACGGACTAACATAGGGTTTCAACATATGAATTTTGGGGGCAGGTATTCAGTTCACAGCAGTGAGGATATGAAGACTCTCTACACTTTGGGTTGGAATTTAAACTTGTAAATTAGACTTGTAAAGTCTTCAGAGGCTCAGATATGACATGTGAGCCTTGTGACTTCTGAGGATCAAGGCTGCGTTCTGGCAGCTCTCTCACCATTGGCAAAACGACAGAAAAGTATCATTTCCATTGGATATCCTGCTACATACTGAATTTTCACATTGAACATTTAATTTCCCATTTAAATAAACCCATCTGGAGTTTGATTTGTATATGTCTTTCTATTTTCCAAATAATGAGCTAGTTGTCCAGCGCCATTTGTGGCATAATCTCTACTTTCCCCACGGGGATATGCCATGATAGCATATAATGCATTCCTATAGAAACTTGGGTTTATTCTGAACTTTCTATTCTCTTTATTGTATCAAGGATCATAAATTGGGGGCTTGTAGCCTATTCCAGGTCTCCAGATGTGTGTTTGGTCTTGTTTTGGTTTTGGACTGAAGTATCTTTGAAAATTGTGCGTTTTCATGCCTTTAGGCAGCTCACAAAGTCAGGCCTGTCTTAGAGCAAGGTACTTGCCCAAGCCCTTAGAACACTTGAGGTTTTTTGCCTGGAGTGACACTAGCAGCATGCTGTTTTAACACTTTCACCTTAGAACACATTTTGGTGTCTAATAGTGGACATTCCCTCTCATTTTTCTTTTGGGATGGTTCCTTAAGTACTCAATTCTCCAGATGAACTTTTACACTGTTTTGTCAACATCTGTGGGGGAAAACTCTCTGAGATTTTGATTGCAATCGCATAAAATTCCTAAATTCATTTGGATGGAATGTACAGCTTTACCACATTGAACCATCATTTAGACATTTTGTAAGTCGCTATTCAGTTCTTTCATATTCTCAGTTAAAATTTTTAGTGTTTCTCCTTTTAATGGAGACGTGGTCTCACTGTCACCCAGGCTTGAGTGCAGTGGCGCTAACTTGGCTCACTGCAGCCTTTGCCTCCCAGGGTCAAATGTTCCTCCCACTTCAGCCTCCCGAGTAGCTGGGACTACAGGCAGGCGCCACCACACCCAGCTAGTTTTTATATTTTTGGTGGAGACAGGGTTTCGCCAAGTTGCCCGGGCTGTTCTTGCACTCCTGCGCTCAAGCAATCCTTCTGCCTTGGCCTCCCAAAGTGCTGGAATTACGGCTGTGAGCCAATGTTAGGGGGCTTGTCGACCAGCACACAGGGGGCTTGGAGGCTGCTTCAGAAGTTCCCGCTAAGCCAAGGATACAAAGCCTGGTGACGGCGCTCCCATGTGAGGCCCAGGTCTTCTGTACCTCGCTCAAAAAATCTTTCCTGCTCATTTCATTTGAGACTGATTTTGCTGTCTTCGGGATCTCTATTGTGCAGCGTCACCCAGAGAGTTCCATATCTGAATGGACTCCAATGATGAAGTTAAATCAGCCCTCACCTCAGTCCTTTGGAATTAGAATCTATGGGGCTGGGTCCTGACATCTGTATCTTAATGTTCCCAGTTGAGATCCTTAGACTGAAAGACTGGTATTTGCAAAGCACTTCTTTTCCTCCAAACTCAGCCTCCGAACTAGCTGGGACTACAGGTGTGTGCCACCACACCAGGCTAATTTTAAATTTTTTTGGAGAGACGGAGTCTCACAACGTTACCCAGGCTTGTCTCCAACTCCTGGGTTCCAGTGATTCTCCCGCCTTGGCCTCCCAAAGTGTAGGGATGACAGGCATGAGCCTGTTACTGTTACAACAGTAACGCCCTTCTGTTTCACTCTAACGATATTTTTGGTGCATACCTACAGTCATTGTTGTATTAACCTGCATCACTGAAGGAAAAGAGAAGGGGAGAAGTGATAGTTTTGCTTTTCCCTGAACATATCAGATGAAACCTGGGCTGTTTAGCCCATTTTTGGACAATATATTGACATAATTTAAGATGGCTGTCTTATTGTAGCCTGTCTAGAGAAGGTGCCTAGAAGACAGAGGAATATGCAAAACTGGCTTGAAGAGTGATTAATCAGAACTCTACATGATACAGAAGATAAATTTTAATGGCAACAGAATATTGATCTTCTAATATTTGAAAGCCCATTAAATAGGAGAGAAAGATGATTTTCTGTTTTGTTGTAAAAGGATCCAACCAGCTCTGGTGGTTCAAAGCATCATGAATGCGAAGGTCTAGTCAACATAAGCAGAGCTTCCTGACTATTGGACTTCCACAGGGACAGGATCTGCGTCCTCATTCAGTTGTGCCTTTCCCATCAGCAAGAGACTCCTAGGAGCCCATTAGGAAGCTGTGCCAGAATTCACAGGTTTTTTGGATGGTATCTGAGATAGTATCCAGCTCTTATATTTTTACTTTTTCTTTAAAAATTATTTTTGAGACTGAGTCTCACTCTGTCTTCCAGGCTGGTGTGCAGTGGTGCAATTATAGCTCACTGTGGCCTCAAACACCTGGGCTGAAGCAATCCTCCTGCCTTAGCCTCCTAAGTACTGGGACCACAGGTGTGTGCCACAATTCCTGATTACTTTGTTTATATTTTGTAGAGATGAGGTCTTGCTATGTCACCCAGACTAGTCTTGAACTCCTAACCTCAAGTGACGCTCCTGCCTTGACCTCCCAAAGGAGTGAGATTATGAGCAGGAGCCCCTGGGCCTGGCTGAGATTTTTCCCCTTTAGTCTTTCTAGACACAGAATATTTTATTCATAAAATATATAAATAGTAGGAAATTTTAGGGTCAAGTGAAATAGATATGTTGTAATAGTTGATCTATAGACAGAGTTCCTTAGCTGAACTGGAGGGGCAGGCTTTAGGTGATCCATGGATGCTCTGAACTTGTGGACACCATTGAAAATCTGTGCGAACCCATGGACAGTTTCCTATGATTTTCATTCCTCAAAATGTCTCTTGGACTCAAAGATCCTTGAGAGCAAATGATGCGTGTTCCCCAATATAGGATCCAGGATAGTGAATATCAGTAAACATTCAGCCAAAAAGCTTTGCCACATTGAGTGCTTCGACATAACGTCTTCATTCAACAAGTCAATGTGCCCGGAATCTCCTACATATGCTAATCTCACTCTTGGAAGCTCTCATCATTCTGCTTACCCTAAATTTCCTTCCACCTTCCTCCCTCTCCCACCAGACTGGACTCTGAAATGGGAAGGAACGGCGGGGAGGAGAGCCCAACACTTCTCAAGTTTAGCGTGGAGAAGACACAGACTCTGCTGGGAAAGGGAAAAGAGGAATACGGAGACCCTGAGGATGCTTTTGGACAATGCTCACAGGTTGGGACATTGCCAGGAGATACCGTTCACCCCGGGTCTCCAAGAAAAGAGATCAGTCTGGCAGTTACATGTGTTTTTCTTCAAACTGGTTGCCAGGTTGGAATGACCGATGACATCAGAGATTCCGACCTTCCTGATTGGAAGGACCGGACTCTGGGTGCTTGGGAGCTCAGGTGGACAACAGCAACTTCTCAGAGCTGTTCTTCACTCCTAACTTCTCCCGAGCCTCTAAAAGAGAAATGCGCTCTTCTGGGTCCTAACGGAGTCTGGAAGAAGGCTCTGGACAGAACAGGGACTAGGTTCTGTGGACAGAAACAAAGCGTTTGGGAGAGACTATGGCCAGTGGTCAAGCGCACCCTCCATTTGAGGAGGAGAGCCCCCAGCCTAGCACATCGGTGCAGTCCCCCCAGGTGGTGGCGGATGATGAAGTGCCAGGACCATCAGGTGAGGTGACTGGAGGGAGAAGTGATTGGAGACGATTGACTGAGGAGAGGGAAGGGGGCCAGTTACTGGAAATCCAGAGCACCTGAGTAGGGTGTGTGGGAAAGAAAGGAGGGACTCAGAAAGCCAGGGATCAGGGAAGGAGGGTGCAGGGAATGGGGCTAAGCATGGCCACGTGGAAAGAAAGCCTGGGGAGCAATGAAGGGGGTCAGGAGATTCGCTCAAAAGATGAGAGAGGAAGGTCGAGGTGGGCGGATCACGAGGTCAGAAGATCGAGACCATCCTGGTTAACACAGTGAAACCCTGTCTCTACCAAAAGTACAAAAATGAGCCGGGCATGGTGGCGCATGCCTGTAGTCCCAGCTACCCAGGAGGCTGAGGCAGAAGAATCATTTGAACCCAGGAGGCGGAGGTTGCAGTGAACCGAGACTGCCCCACTGCACTCCAGCCTGGGCAACAAGAGGGAGACTCCGTCTCCCCACCCACCCCCCAAAAAAAAGAGAGAGAGAGGAGACAGAAGAGCTCAAGGGAAGGTTTCCGTTTTCTCCAGTTGAAAGTTCTTATCTGTGATGAGAAAATGTTTTGAGGACAGAGCTGGAAGAACGGGGAGGTGAGGGAGAGGCAGATGGGGATCAGCAAAGGAGAAAGGTGGAAACATGGCTTGGAGAAGCCGACAGTCTGCGAGGCTGGGGAGGATGGAAGAGTAGTATGAGGTTTTTGGGTCGGGGTCTAAGGTGATCAATGGCAGAAACACGACACTATGGCCTGGTTTCTTCACTCAGTCCCTTGGGTAGATCCCAGCCCCCAGCCTCAATCTCTTGGCATGAAAAAGAAGAGGGAATGGTCAGACGAATCCGAGGAGGAGCCAGAGGAGGAGCTGGAGTTGGAGCGCACCCCTGAGCCCAAGGACACCTGGGTGGTGGAGATGCTGTGTGGGCTCAAGATGAAGCTGACGCGCAAGCGAGCATCCTCCGTGCTCCCTGAGCACCACGAGGCCTTCAACAGGCTGCTTGGTAGGAGGATACCCCAAAGAGCACCTCCAACCCAGTTCTTTTTTAAAAGCAGAAACTTTCAATAATTACTATTTCCCAATAAGAAGAATATGCCCTCCTAGGGGGTGAGTGATCCATGTGGGAGGAGGATGCTTAGGAGATAGAGGATTAGGCTGGTATTAATAAAAGGTCTGTGCTTGAAATAAGAAAGCCTGGTTTCTGGCCAGGTGCAGTGGTTCATGCCTGAGATCCCAGTGCTTTGGGAGGCTGAGGTGGGAGGATCTCTTCTCAGCAGTTTGAAGTTGCAATGAGCTATGACCACACCACAGCACTCCAGCCTGGTTGACAGGGAAAGACCTTGTCATAAAATAAATAAAATAAAATAAAAGACAAAAGAAAGCTTGGTTTCAGCTGAACCCTCTGAAACTCTCTCTTGCTGACTTTTCTAAACCTAAGTGTCTCCATCCATGGAGGGGGATGACAAGGTCATGGGCACACCCAGCTGTGACTATCTCCGGAAGCCATGATGGGAATTCCATTATGACTTCTGCGGTGGTCCCTTCATGTATGATGGGAGGACATCATGGCTTATTCACAGCTCCTCATCCTGTAGACTCTGACACCAAAGGCCTCCTTCGGCCTCTCCTCAGGGCAGTCTCAGAGCAGGAGCCTCCCTCCTTGCCCAGTGAAAGTCCTTCTCTCCTCTCCCATCCACGTAACCCTTGACCACAATCCTGAGACTTCCCCCAGAGGGGCACAGTTCTCCTGTCTGCTCTGTTGCTCCCACGGCAATCCTGTTCCACTTCTTACCCTGACACAGGCTCTCTTTTCACAGAGGATCCTGTCATTCAAAAATTCCTGGCCTGGGACAAAGATCTGAGGGTGTCAGACAAGGTAAGGTTGTTCCCCACTCAACTGTGTTCCTGTTTTAACACATGTCCTGGGGGAGGGTGCAGCATCTAAAACCACAGTTTCTCTCCTCTCTCCCTCCACCATCTCCCACCCGCTGATCCCATAGTCTTGGGCGCCCACATTTTGATTTTTATTTTTTCGGAGAGAGGGTCTCGTTCTGTTGCCCAGGTTGGAATGCAGTGGTGCCATCATAGCTCACTGCAGCCTCAACCTCCTGGGCTCAAGTGATCCTCCCGCCTCAGCCTCTCCAATAGCTGGGACTCCAGGCGTGAGTCATCACACTCCGGCTATTGTTAATCTTTTTATAGTTTGTCAGCATCCCCTCAGGGCTCTAGTGGCCTATTGCATAGAGGACGGGTGGCCCCTGCCTCTGCCCAGGGCTTGAATCCCTGGGCCACAGTCCTGAAACTCCTGACCCCTATCCTCTCATATCTTTGGGACAGTCCTTTGCTCCAGCTCACCAAGACCCTCCTGACATTAGCCGACCTAGACACACTCCCTCCAATGATCCCATCGGAGCTCATCATCATGGGAGCATCACAGACCTCCCTTCCCCTGACTTCCCGAATTTGCAGCTGACTTTGAACACCTCTCCACCCGCAAGCCTCCAGTGAGCATAGCCACCCAACACTGAGGTTCCTTCTGTGATAGGCAACTGCGCCCCAGCCCCTGTTCCCTTATCTCCACCATCTTCCTCTTCCAGGATGTGACCAACCTTTTTCTCTCTCTGTTCCCTTCTCTCCATCAGTATCTCCTGGCTATGGTCATAGCGTACTTTAGCCGTGCCGGCCTCTTCTCATGGCAATACCAACGCATTCATTTCTTCCTGGCTCTGTGAGTAGTTTGCTTCTTCCCACCCGTCAATATCCAACACCCTGGGACAGTGGAGGAAGTGGGATTCCAACCTCTCGTCTATTTTTTGACCCTAGTTTCCCTCTTTACTCTGTGTATAAAAACGTTAAGATTATACTACAGCGTACTTAGTCTGCTCTTTCTAAAAACAAACACAAATGCAGTTGACAAACAGTAGAATCAAACAAAAGGAAACATAAACTCGTCCTAAGGGGAAAGCCGTGGACACGACCCTGCCCCCCAAGCAATCAGCCATTTCTGGTTTTTCTGTCTCTCGCCTTCCCATATCAACACCAAATGCAATTTTCCATCCTCCTCCTCCAGGTTCCCATGACAGAGGCCGAAATTCAGGTCGTCCTTGCATAACACGGATCCATCATCAAATACTCCCTGATGGGGCTTCCTGCGAGTCCCACCCCAAGCCAGGGGGCTTCCTAGTGCTGCCTGAATAGCTCCCACCCCTTCACTGCCCACCTGAACAACTTCCTTAGCTGATTTGCCTATAAATGGAGGCCTGGGTCCACAGGGTGAATCCAACCCTCTCTGCAATCCTTCTACCACCAAACCTGCCCACCATCTTCATGTTTCATGGTTTGCTTTCGCCGCTCCTTCCAAATGCCCTCCACTCCATTTTGATTTTGTGTTTTCTGTCTGGGTGTCCTGCACCCATATGGATCTGAAGGGAACGACCCATTTGTTGAAGTCAGTTCAGCCCCCACAGCCTTTCCATGCCTCCTCTGATCTGCCAGCGTCTGCATGCCTGCAGCACTTCAGTTACATCCTAGGATAATGTGCCATTTTGGATTCATTGATCTGCCCTCCTTTTCCCCAAACCCATCAGACTAGACCCCTGTTGAAGGCAGGGTCTTGTCAAAATATCAAAGTTTTTGTTTTTGTTTATACCAGACAGAGACTTGCTCTGTCCCTCAGGCTGGAGTGCAGCAGCCAGCATAGCTCACTGCAGCCTCCATCTCCCAGGCTCTAGATCCTCCCACCTCAGCCTCCCAAGTAGCTGGGACAACAGGTGCACACCACCACATCCAGCCAGTTTTTATGGTTTTTAGTAGAGATGAGGTTTTGCTATGTCACCCTGGCTGTTCTGGAACTCCTGGGTTCTCACCTCAGCCTCTCAAAGTGCTGGTACTACAGACATAAGCCACCCAATCAACCAAAATATCAAAGTATTCCTAAAACACTCAGCACAATTCTTTTCATTTTGCAACTGTTCATGTTATATTGACTCTGTGAAATGATTCATATGGCATTTGCGTATAAGATAAATCTTTCCTTCTTTCCTTCATTCATTCATGTATTCATTTATTCAACAAAACCTTACAAAGTACATGATACGTGCCAGGGTAGGAAGGATGGGAAGAGAGAGTTCACAGCAATGCTTGTTGAATTAATGCACCAAGATAAACAAAGCCCTCTATTGGCCATTTGGTAGGCAAGAAATGATTTACAGAAACAAACCAGTCAGTTCCTGTCCTTGGGGGCACTTACGATGGAGGGGGAAGACAGGTGTGTGCATACATGAGAAGGAAGGGGGGTGTGGGAGGAACATGGATGGGGACTAGGATGAGGTGATGTCATCTCTCTTGTATAAGGATGGCAGGACACATCCTTAGGATAAGAGCTGGGTTGTTTTTAAATTCAGAGGGGGTCTTGCCATATTACCCAGACTGGTCTCTAACTCCTGGCCTCCAGTGATCCTCCTGCCTGGACTCCCAAAGTGCTGGGATTCCAGGTGAGAGCCACCACTCCCAGCCACCACTTGGATCGTCGCCTTCCTGAAGGTGTGAGAGGCGCCCTTAGCAGGTCTCTGTCCAGTGGGGCCTCCTGAGGAAGGCGGGGCTCTCTGCAGGGTGGGTGTTGGTGCTGAGCTGAGGACGGTCCCTTCCCCTCCTCTCTGGGAAGCTGCCCTCAGGCAGGGGTCCCTCCTGGTGGGGCCCCTGAGTAGCCACCTGATCTCTCTCCCCAGCTACCTGGCCAGTGACATGGAGGAGGACAACCAGGCCCCCAAACAAGACATCTTCTCCTTCCTCTACGGCAAGGACTACTCCCAGCGACCTTTGTTCCACAAGCTTCGCTACCAGCTCATCTGCTCCATGCGCTGGAGGACGTGGGTGTCCCCAGAGGAGATGGAGGAGGTAAGTGGGGCCATATGAGGAGGTGGGGGTGGGGAGGGATGGGGTGGATTGGAGGCTGGAGGAGGGCAGGGAAGGGTCTTGCTGGGGAGACCCTGGCTTCTCAAGTGGTACGTGTTTCTCCAGATCCAGGCTTATGACCCAGAGCACTGGGTGTGGGCCCGAGATCGCACCCTCATTTCCTAGAGCTCCGGGGATGTGGAGGCCTGAGGTCATCGGCCTGAGGGAAGGTACGTGTGTATCCTTCGAGGTAAAGGCAGAATAGTCTCATCTGTAAGAAAATCCGAGGAACCCAACTGCTTGATCCGGCTTCAAGCCTGGTCAATATGGCAACACCCCATCTCCACAAAAAATACAAAAATTAGCTGGGCATCCTGGTGGGCGTCTCTAGTCCCCACTACTCAGGAGGCTGAGGCGGAAGGAACACCAGAGCCCCAGGAGGTCAGGGCTGCAGTGAGCTGTGATTCTGCCACTGCACTCCAGCCGGGGCGACAGAGTGACACTGTGTCTCAAAAATGAGACTACTACCTAGGTCCAGGGAGGTTCATTATGGTTGACACACTTGAGTTACTGATTTGGGGAAAGGATTCGGTGAAGATTTGGTTGACATCTTGTGCAGCTAACCACATTTAGGACCGAGCATTAGACTTAAACATGAGAGATTAAGGTTCAGGATTAGGAATCTGGTCTGCTGGTTCGTGAGGTTGTCATGTTAGACATGTGTGTAGCATGGTTAAAAGTTTAGATCTTAAGCAACACAAAAGGCCCCAAGTGTGACGAAGTCCAAAGCCACATTCTCTGAGGGTGCTCTACTCCCTGGGTGGACCCACCCAAAGTCCTTGCTATGAAGCAGATCACTGGGGCTGGCCTTGGCTGTATTGATTTTTGGAGTCAAGCTCACCAAAGTGTGAGTGTCAGAAGCAAAAATGATGGCTCAGAATCAGGGTTTACAATGAAGGGTTAGAGATAAAATCGGATTTATACATTGCTCTGAACTCTAGCTAGGATTGATGTGGGATGAGAATAACCTTCTTGTCTGGAGATCTGCCTATTTGAAGTGTGACATCCTGTCTCTCACTTTCAGAACACTGGGCCCAGGGGAGAGGGGAATTTTCAGCAGGAAGTTTATCCCAACGCTAATGCCAGACACCAGGAGCCTCCTGTGCAGATCATCTAGAAGAACCTGGACTCTTCTAGAAGGAGCAAAATAGAATGACCAGGTTTTCCTCCTAGGAGCCGTGGAAGTACTTCTAGGAGTCGGTGGAGGGAAAGTGAGAAACCAGGGGTGTTTCTGGTTCCACCCCTTCCTGCGACACCACCTCCCTTTTCACATTGCTGAATCCCAACCTCCCCTGGGCTGGAAGCTGGAGTTCCCGTTTCCTATGGACTTTGTTGCCACAGTCCAGAGCATTTGAAGGCACAGCACAGGCGCTCAGATTGTCACAGAATTCTTTGTTAAATATGAAATTACTGCCATAGGATTTTAAAAGATAGTTTAATAGATACTATACATTTTATTGGTTTATTTTGAAAATGTTGGCCATAGAATTATTACTATGTTGATTTGAAATCGTTTGGAATTTTTGTAGTTTTGAAAACATGCTGTTCCTATAGAGTTCTGTGATGGTCATTATATACATATAAATATAATTTAGTTTTCATTTTTAAGAGAGAATTCTTTTTATCACAAATGTGTTCTCTTTAAATCGTTTTATCTATTATTACATGTACTCCCGAAGTGAGCACTCTTGTTAGCTATGATACTGACCTAATATATCCATTATATTTATAGCTAGGTGGTAGTTTCCCTATGTTCTTATAAATTTTCTGTTTAGTGTTTGTTACTGGACTGTGAGAATTCAGTTGTGATTTTTAACATGCCTTACGTATATACTAACATGTCCAATATACACTAGACATTTTATTTGTTTATTTTGAAAATGATGGGCATGGCATTCTTACTACATTTATTTAACTAGTTTAGAAATACAAGTATTTTTTAAAAGACACTGTTCTTATGAAGTTGATGGGTGTTATACCTGTTATATACATAAAAATATAATTCTGTTTTCATTTTTAAGAGAGGATTCTTTTTATCCTAAATGTCTTATTTTTAAATCTTTTTATCTATTATTACATGTGCTGCTGAAGGGAGCACTGTTATTACCTAGGGTAGTTACATAATGTATCTATTATATTTATAGCTCGGTGGCATTTCCCCGAAATTCTTGTAAAAATAAATTTATATTTGATGTTGAGTGTTATTGAATTGTGATAATTCAGATGTAATTTTGTCAGCTTGTATTGAAAGGTTTGTATGTTCCTTTAAAGAGGGCATGTGTTTGAAAGGAGGACAGGAGCTGTGTGTTTGAAAGAGGACAGTGCAGTGTGCTGCCCGCGAAAATGCAATAAAGATGAAGTTTTCTCATCTTCACAATGATTGTGACCATATTGGTCTGGATTGCTTATTTGTTGTCCAGTGATATTTTTGTTTAATGGGGTTTTAGTTATTTGAACGAATTAATTAACCCTGGAAAATAATGCTGAATCTTTCTTTTTTTCTTTTTTTTTTTTTTGAGATGGAGTCTGGCTCTGTTGCCCAGGCTGGAGTGCAGTGGCGCAATCTCAGCTCACTGCAAGCTCTGCCTCCTCCGTTCACGCCATTCTCCTGCCTCAGCCTCCCAAGTAGCTGGGACTACAGGCAAAGGCCACCACGCCTGGCTAATTTTTTGTATCTTTTTTTTTCCTTTTTTTTTTTTTTTTTTTTGAGACAGAGTCTCGCTCTGTCACCCAGGCTGGAGTGCAGTGGCATGATCTCAGCTCACTGCAAGCTCCACTTCCCGGGTTCATGCCATTCTCCTGCCTCAGCCTCCCGAGTAGCTGGGACTACAGGCGCCCGCCACCACGCCCGGCTAATTTTTCGTATTTTTAGTAGAGATGGGGTTTCACCGTGTTAGCCAGGATGGTCTCGATCTCCTGACCTCGTGATCCGTCCGCCTCGGCCTCCCAAAGGGCTGGAATTACAGGTGTGAGCCACCGCGCCCAGCACTTTTATTTATTTATTTATTTATTTATTTATTTATTTATTTATTGAGACAAGGATCTTGCCCCATTCCCCAGGCTGAAATGCAGTGGCTCAATCTCGGCTCACAGCAACCTCCGCCTCCCACGTTGAAGCAATTCTCTTATCTCAGCCTCCTGAGAAGCTGGGATTACAGGTGCCTGCCACTATGCCCAGCTAATTTCTGTATTTTTAATAGAGCCACCATTTCACCATGTTGGCCAGGCTGGTCTCGAACTCCTGACCTCAGGTGATCCGTCCCCCTTGGCCACCCAAAGTGCTGGAATTACAGGCGTGAGACACTGCATTCGGCCCATACAGTAAAACTATTTATGAGAGGAGGGAAGTATCTTGGGTTAGTTAGTAGAAATCAAAATACTGAAGTCAGTGAACTCTGAGGAGACGCTTGACAGACACACAACCTAAGGAGGAGGAGGTTGCAAAGTGCTGACATTTGCGTAACCACAAGCGTGGCTGAACCTAGAACGCAATTACTATTCCAGCAAATGGAACCGTGAAGCTATTGTTACAGATTGCCTCCATTCTGGCACCCTCGTGTTGCCAGTACCATAAACCACACGCAAACGAGGCAAGTAAGATCTTGGAGGAATTTGAGAAGCATCTGTGCAATGTCCAAGAGTCAACTTATAATGGGATGAACCTAGGGAGTCAACAAGAGTCTGCACTGAGCCTGAGCACTCAAAACATTCTTGGGATGGCCACGTGCAGTGGCTCATGCCTGTCATCTGAGCACTTGGGGAGGCCCAGGTGGGCAGACTGTTTGAGCCCAGGAGTTCAAGACCAGCCCGGGCAACATGGTGAAACCACACCTCTATAAAAATACAAAACTGGGCCAGGCGTGGTGGCTCACACCTGCAATCCCAGTACTTTGGGAGGCCGAGGCAGGCGGATCACGAGGTGAGGTGATTGAAACCATCCTGGTGAAATCCTGTCTCTACTAAAAAAAAAAAATTGCAAAAAAAATTAGCCGGGCATAGTGGCATGCGCCTGTAGTCCCAGCTACTCAGAAGGCTGAGGCAGGAGAATCAGTTGACCAGGGAGGTGGAGGTGGCAGTGAGCCTAGATCACGCCACTGCACTCCAGCCTGGGTGCAACAGAGCAAGACTCCATCTCAAAAAAAACAAACAAAATCAAAACACACACACACACACACACACACACACAACTTAGCCAGGTGTTGCAGTGCACACCTGTAGTCCCAGCTACCCAGGAGGTTGAGGTGGGAGGATTGCTTGGGCCTGGGAGTCAAGGCTGCATGAGTCATGATCATACCACTGCACTCCAGCCTGGGCAACAGAGCAAGACCCTCTCACAAAAAAAAAAAAAAAAATTCAAAACATTCTTGGGGACTGCAGGTCTGTTGTATCTATCTGCCAACGATGTAGTCACAGGGTAAACAGACCAAATATTGCCCACGTCTCCTGTTTAGTGCCATCTCTGCTGTTAGAGAATCCCAACCCTAGAAGAAAGGAAAGCTCGTTCTTCTGCTGACTTGGTGAATCTGCCTGTGTGTCTGGCTGTTGGTCAGCCTGCCACGGATTGCTGCCTGAGTTGCCTTCCTGTCTCTTGCTGCATCCAATGAGGGTCCAACCAATCTTCTCAAAAGTATTAGGATGAGTAGAAGTGAGCGTCAAAAATACAGGATTACTTTCCAGAATACATAAAGACCTTCTATAAATCAATAAAAATGCAAAGCAACTTGATTTTTAAAATGCATATGAAACACGAACAGGAGACTCAGAGAAGAAGAAATGACTGTATGCAGATGAGTAACTTCACCTATCAGACTGGCAAAATATAAGAGATTGGTAATATACCATGTTAGTGAGTGTCTTAGTCAGTTTGGGCTGTTCTAACAAATTCTCATAGACTGGGAAACTTAAAACATTTCTTTCTCACGTTTCTGGAGGCTGGGAAGTCCAAGATCAAGGGGCCATGAGAGGCAGTGTCTGGTGAGGGCCCATTTGCTGGTTTGCAGACTGGAAATCTTAAATATTTCTTTCTCATAGTTCTGGAGGCCGGGAAGTCCAAGATCAAGGTGCCAGGAGAAGCAGCATCTGCTGAAGGTCGGCTTGCTGGTTTGCAGATGGCTGTCTTCCTGTTGCTCTGTCACATGGCAGAGAGCAAAGAGAGAGAAAGCAAGCTGTCTCTTTTGTTAAAAGGGCACTAAAGCTATCATGAGGGTACCACCACCCTTAGGAGCTAATACATCCCAAAGGCTCTATATCCAAGTACAATTATATTGGAGATTAGGGTTTGATATGGTTTGTCTGTGTCCCCATTCAAATCTCAACTTGAATTGTATCTCCCAGAATTCCCACAGGTCATGAGAGGGACCCAGGCAGAGGTAATTGAATTGTGGGGGCCAGTCTTTCCTGTGCTATTCTGATATCCAAATAAGTCTCAAGAGGTCTGATGGGTTTATCAGGGGTTTCCACTTTTGCTTCCCTTTCGTTTTCTCTTGCTGCCACCATGTAAGAAGTGCCTTTTGCCTCCCGCCATGACTCAGGCTGCCCAGCCATGTGGAACTGTAAGTCCAATTAAACCTCTTTTTTTTCCCATTAAACCTCTTTTTCTTCCCAGACTTGGGTATGTCTTTATCAGCACCATGAAAATGGACTAAGACAGGGTTTCAACACATGCATTTTGAGGGGGGGCACAGATTCAGTTCACAGCAGTGCGGATGCAGGGAAATGAAGACTCTCTAGGCTTTGGGTTGGAATGTACACTTGTAAATTAGACTTGTAAAGTCTTCAGAGACTCACATACGACTTGTGAGATCAAGGCTGTGTTCTGGTAGTTCTCTCACCATTGGCAAAAAAACAGAAAAGTATCATTTCCATTGAATACCCTGCTACATAATGAATTTTCACATTGAACATTTAATTTCCCATTTAAATAAACCCATCTGGAATTTGGTTTGTATATGTCTTTCTTTTTTTCCAAATAATGAGCTAGTTATCCCAGCACCATTTGTGGCATACTTTACACTTTCCCCACTGGGATATGCCATGATAGCATATAATGCATTCCTATAGAAATTTGGGACTATTTCTGGATTTTCTATTCTGTTTATTGTATCAAGGATCATAAACTGTGGCCCTGTAGCCCATTTCAGGCCTCCAGATGTGTTTTTGGTCTTGCTTTGGTTTTGGTCAGAAGTGTCTTTTTAAATTGTGAGTTTTCATGCCATTAGACAGCTCACAAAGTCAGGCCTATCTTAGAACAAGGTACTTGCTCAAGCCATAAGAGCACTTGAGGTTTTTTTGCCTGGAGTGACACCAGCAACATACTGTTTTAACACTTTCACCTTAGAACACATTTTGGTGTCTAACAGTGGACATTCCCTCTCATTCTTCTTTTGTGATGGTTCCTTAAGTACTCAGTTCTCCAGATGAACTTTTACACTGTTTTGTCAACATCTGTGGGGAAAAATTCTCTGAAAGTTTTATTGCAATTGCATAAAATTCCTAAATTCATTTGGATGGAATGTACAGCTTTATCATATTGAACCATCATTTAGACATTCTGTAAGTCACTATTCAGTTCTTTTATATCCTCAGGAGAGGGGAGGGGAGGGGTGGAAAAGCGGGAGGGGGAGGGGGAGGAGGAGGGGAGGGGGAAAGGGAGGGGACAGGAGGGTGAAGGAAGAGAAGGGAGGGGAGGGGGAGGGGAGGGGAGGGGGAGGGGAGGGGAGGGGGGGGAAGGGGGAGGGGAGGGGAAGGGGAAGGGAAGGGGAAGGAGAAGGGAAGGGAGGGGAAGGGGAAGGGAAAGGGAAAGGGAGGAGAAGGGAGGGAGGGGAAGGGGAGAGGAAGGGAGGGGAAGGGGAGAGGAAGGGAGGGGAAGGGAAAGGGAAAGGGAGGAGAAGGGAGGGGAGGGGAAGGGGAGAGGAAGGGAGGGGAAGGGAGAGGAGGGGAAGAGAGGGGGAGGGAAGGGGAGGGGAAGGGGAGAGGAAGGGAGGGGGAAAGGGAGTGGAAGGGAAGGGGAAGAGAAAGGGAAGGGAAGGAGAAGGGAGGGGAGGGGAAGGGGAGGGGAAGGGGAGAGGAAGTGAGGGGGAGGGGAGGGGAGGGGAAAGGAAGGGGAGGGGAAGGGAAGGGGAAGAGAAGGGAAGGGGAAGGGAGAGGAAGGGAGGGGAAGGGGAGGGGAGGGGAAGACGAGGGAAGGGGAGGGGAAGGTGAAGGGAAGGGGAGGGGAAGGTGAAGGGAAGGGGAGGGGAAGGGGAGGGAAGGGGAGGGGAAGATGAGGGAAGGGGAGGGGAAGGGGAAGGGAAGGGGAGGGGAAGGGGAAGGGAAGGGAAGGGAAAAAATGGGGATAGGACAGACCTCTGTAAATCCCAGACAGCCCTGCGTCTTGCTCAGGGCCCCGAGGAGGGCAGTAAGACTCCAGAAAGGGCTGGTGGTGTGCGAGGATCAAGACCACGAAAATTCCCATGATAGGCACCAAATCAAGCAGCAGAAAGAGCTTCCAGATACGAGGAAATCCCTGGGCAGGAGCAGAGGATGTCTTACAGCTACCTCTATGGACCAACCTGGCCCTGGACCACCTGATTTCACGGACAATCAGGGATATGCCTCATATACCGGGGGGACCGGTGATTCCAGAAACAAATGGCTTCCTCCTCAAGGGCTGGTGTTGCACAGCCCCCAGGCTGAGCTACGACCTCAGAGAAAGGGAGGGGAACCCCAGATTGGCTGTGCCAGCCTCTCTGGATAAACAAGGAAACGTGCCCCTCCCAGGAGCTTGCATCGTGGGGTGCGGGCTGTCTTGCTTTCTCTGCTGAGCCCACTGGGCTGGCTGGAATCGACAGGTGTGTGTGATGGCCCGCTCTGGATGGAAGGCTCCGGCGGAGCGTGGGAGGAAAGCAGGGCTGGAGTGGGCCGTGCCACCCCACCACGTCTCCTCTTCCTCCTGGGCGGGGATGGAGGGGGCGGCGCACGGCCAGCAGGGGGCGCCAGACGACCGGCAATGCGGCGGGGCGGGCTGGGCGCGCTCGGGACACGCCCCCGCCCGAGACCCCTAGCCCACGCAGCCCACGCACCCCACCCGGCTCCGCGTCCCAGACAGAGAGGAGCGGAACGGGCGGCGTGGCCGGCGTGGGAGGGAGGGAGGGAGGCAGAGAGCACAGGAAGCCTGCGCTCGGTGGGAGCATGCTCAAGGTCACTGCCAGAGTCCAGCCAGAGACCCCAGGGCGTCCGCCGCACACCCGCCGTCCCACGCGAAGACGTCCGACCTCCGGCCAGATGAGTTCATGCAGCCTGACGGGATCAAGGAAGGCGGCCACCACGGAGTCAACATTTTAAATAGGGTCATTTCCGTTACCGTGTTTTGGCATTTCTTCCTATTTTAAGTTTCTGCAAACAAAAACGCGCAGGGCCGGGCGCGGTGGCTCACGCCTGTAATCCCAGCACTTTGAGAGGCCCAGGCGGGCGCATCACCTGAGGTCAGGAGTTCGAGACCAGCCTGGCTAACATGGCGAAACCCCGTCTCTACTAAGAATACAAAAATTAGCCGGGCGTTGTGGCGGGCGCCTGTAGACCCGGCTAGTCGGGAGGCTGAGGCAAGAGAATCGCTTGAACCCTGGAGGCAGAGGTTGCAGTGGGGTGAGATCTCGCCATTGCACTCTAGCCTGGGCGACAGAGCGAGACTCCGTCTCAAAAAAAAAAAAAAAATTGGCGCAGGCCCCGAGTCTCTTCCTCCGAGGGGCCTGGACTGGGCCCTCCTCCTGTGCCTGTCCCTGCGCACCCGCCACCTGTCCCCCCTTACCCTGCCCCGCCCCTCACCACCGCGTGCTGGGCCCGCCGCCGCCTGGTTTCTAGCCTCCGGCCTCCTCGCGACTCCACCCCTGCTGCCGCTAAGCGCCTCCTTTCTTTCTCCGCTCTTCTTCACCGCCATCCGACCAAGGCCCGGCCCCTCCCTCACCCTCACCCACACCTGAACCCCGGGGAGGCCCCAAGAGCAGGGCGCCCGCACAAGACCACTCCTCTACCCAATGCCCCTTCTCAGCCACACTCATCCAATGCTGCCTCCTGGCTCTGGGCTCCATGGCAACCAGCAGCTAAGCAGGCCTAACGCCTTCCCAGAGTGCCTGAGGGCTAAGGGCAGGAGCAAGAGCATGACCCCAGCAAGGGGAGGACCAATGGGGGCAGGGGGCAGAGGGCAGCGCCTGGGCTCCATGTGTGGGCCACAGAACCAGGCAGCCTGTTGCTAGGTAACCACATCTCCCATCACTGCCCCAGCGCATCGTCTTGAGCGGCCCAACCTGTCTCCAGCCACCTTCTGTGGAGTCTCGAACACTATCATCTGTGGGACCCTGAAGGCCGAAGGGAGAAGCAAGAGCGCAGCCAGCACCCCTGAGCCACCTGTGGCTCTGCTACCCACTATTTCACTGTGAAGAGTCAGCTGCCTGGGCTGTGAGGTCACTGCCACCATGAGTCTGGGTATCATGGAAGAGGAAGACCTGGCCGAGTACTTCCGGCTGCAGTATGGGGAGCGGTTGCTGCAGATGCTCCAGTGAGAGTCTGAGGCCTGGCTTGCCCACCCCTCTGTGCCTGGGACCACTCACACCCACCCCATGCCTCATCTTCCAACCTGTCTGTCCCCTCCTCTCCTGTAACCCAGTGCCCCAAATAACCCTGGCACCAGTCCACCCCATCACGCTGGTCTCCACCCCGTCACCCTCCCCAGCTCACTCCTACATGGCCCTCTGTGCTTCTCAACACAACACTCCTTCCCTCGGAAAGGGAGAGAGGCCCCTCTCCTTCCCCATGGGTATCTGTCTCCACAGGTTACTCCCAGCCCCAGCCTACCCCTTCTCAGAATACACAGACCTTTTGTGTTCACATCTTGGACAGGAAACTCCCCAATGTTCAGGGACAGTCGGAGTCCCCATCCATCCGGCTACTGGAGAAGAAAAAGGAGACGAAAATCATGCATCATAATATGCTGCAGAAGAAAAAGGTGGAGACTCGGGGATGGAGTGCAGAGGGGCAGGAAAGGAGGAGAGTGGGCTGGGGCACCGGGAGAGCCTGTAGACAGCCCTCCATTGTCTGGGTGGGGTGGCTAGAGCCAGGAGTCCTCTATGTGGTCTGGTCTCTTTGGGGAGAACAGAAAGGATCTGGGTCTTGGGGGTACCACTGTCCAGGTATGCTCTGCTCTGAGCCAGGCATGGAATAGAAAGTGGGAGGCTCCTACGGACCCTCTTGGGCCTGGGAATGGAGCCTCTGGGGCAGGGATGCTGGGGTCTTCCTCGGTACTCATGTTAGGGGCCCTCCTGACCTCTCTGCTCCCCCACCCCCACCCCACCCCAAAGATGTTTCAGCGCAGAATGGAAACCCTGAACCTGCGCTGGGAGGAACTGGGCGTCAAGGAAGCCCAGCTGAAGGCTCACATCCAGAAGTTTGAGCAGTTCATCCAGGTTTGAAGGGGTGTGGGCAGCCACAGTGGCCGGGGGATCCACACTGCGCAGGTGGGCAAACTACCGCTCCTCCTCCTCGCTTCTGCTGACTCCTCGCCCTGAGTTAAAAGCATCCTTAGTGCTTCAACATTGCCTGGCACCTCCCTAGGCATCCTTTATGTCCCCTACCTGTCTCCGTTTGTAATTTTCCATTTACCTGTCAGTCTGTGCTCCCTCTAGATGGCTGTTTCCTATTTCCTTTCCAGTACCTAGGACATACAGTTTCTCCAGCAAATGAACGCATGGATGAATGAATGAAGATGCTACAGTCAGGACTAAACACTTGGGGAATACAGTGATGAATGGGACAGTTTTAGTCCCTCCACCCACCCCACCCCTCCATCCTTGTCCTTGCACTGAAGGTCTGGGCAGGGGATAGTTGAAGGACCAGGCACTAGAGTCCATCCCAAGACACCCTCTCTCACTTCAGTCCTTAGTGGAGCAATTTAATCATCTTAAAAGTTCAGATTTATCCAGACCCACTCCAGTTTGCACTTACGTGGCCCTGAAGGGCCTGGTCCAGCTCCGGGAGTGGGTAATGATTGCCGTCGACCACACAGAAGCCTCACTCTGAAGCACCTTCCTTCCTGCTCTGTGCCTAAGCCATGTGGGACAGGAAGTCCTTGGACTGGCACATTCTCCAGAGGTCTAGTTCTTAGCAGCCAGAAAAACACTTATGGAATGGTTGGGACAGAAGATTTGGGCATGATTTCTCCAAATGGCTCTCAGAGGGTCGGTAGCTTCAATTCCCAGAGAGTTTGCTACAAATACAGACCCCAGGGGCTTCCCTTGTTGCTTTCAGCACGTCTGAGGTTGGGCCCAGGCTTCTATAATTTTTTAAAAGCTCCCCAGGCAGTTCTGATGACCAGGTGGATTTGAAAGTCACTGGTTTAGACCCCCTCAGTCCTCTCCTGGGCTTACAGGGCAGCATACAGATCCTCCATGCACCTCCCTCAGTGGCCTCCAAGTGCCACCACCACATACGCCCGTCCATCTGGAATCACAGGAGCCCCTGAAGGGAGAAAGGAGCCACACAGGGTGAGGGGTGGGCTTGCCTCTAATCTTAGGGGAGGGCTCTGCAGAAGAAAGAGGCAGGATTGGATTGATTGCAGTAACTGAGCCTCGTTCTGT